ACCTTGAAGTTACCTTCAAGTGCTTCCGGGGCTTAAGCGTCCCCCGCGGCCCGGACGTCAACCAGGCCTCCTCGGTGCTGGACTGGTCAACCAGGCTGTTGGACTGCTTGTGGGTCGTGTTTATGTCGGGTCGGAAAATGGTGTATGCGTTTGGTTCGGTTGACAATCTGGCTTTGTGCTGTGCGTTGATTTCTGCCCTGCAGGCAGGACGCAGACGCAGACATGGGACGCAGTGACGCAGACACATATAGCTACAAGGGGAAGCGGCGACCCACACGAACAACGAAAGCTCCCCTACATATACATACATATACTCAAAATTTCATCTAGCCACAAGTTACTACTTCACTACACTACTTTAACTCATACAGCCATTACCCTAAAGTAACGACATTCACTGAAAGTAACACGAAAACTTTTCAGCATCGGGGCTCGATATTATATCGGGGCTTCAGTATTATAGAGGCCTCGTAGCCTGGTGGATAGCGCGCAGGACTCGTAATTCTGTGGCGCGGGTTCGATTCCCGCACGAGGCAGAAACAAATGGGCAAAGTTTCTTTCACCCTGAATGCCCCAGTTACCTAGCAGTAAATAGGTACCTGGGAGTTAGTCAGCTGTCACGGGCTGCTTCCTGGGGGTGGAGGCCTGGTCGAGGACCGGGCCGCGGGGACACTAAAGCCCCGAAATCATCTCAAGATAACCTCAAGATAACCTCAAGTATTACACTGCACTTGTAAGGTAATTATCAGCAGAAAGGTAAGGTTCAGGAGAAAGGTAACGCAATTCTCAGAAGGTAAGGTAATCACGAGAAAGGTAAGGCAAGGTAACGAAAACAATCTATACCTCAACATACCTGTCCCCATGATCTAAGAGAACCATCCAAGCTCAAAATTGTCTTCTCATATCCCTAAGAGACATTCAATGATCCCAAGTTCCTTTGTTAAGTCCCAAATGTTACTTCTAAAACCCAGGTCAAACGTAACTTTCCCAGACCCCAGGAACCATTCCCAGACCCCCAGGAACCGTTCCCAGACCCCAGGAACCATTCCCAGACCCCAGGAACCATTCCTAGACCCCAGGAACCATTCCCAGACCCCAGGAACCATTCCCAGACCCCAGGAACCATTCCCAGACTCCCAGGAACCATTCCCAGACTCCCAGGAACCATTCCCAGACTCCCAGGAACCATTCCCAGAATCCTGGAACCATTCCCAGACCCCAGGATCCATTCCCAGACCCCCAGGAACCATTCCCAGACCCCAGGAACCATTCCCAGATCCCAGAAACCATTCCAAGACCCCAGAAACCCTTACCAGACCCCAGGAAATTTTCATAAACCTCAGGACTCGTTCTCAGACCCTAGAAAACCTTTCTAGACCTTAGAAAATCTCCTAAGACCATACACGGACTACTCACATCGAACGGAGAGTTCGTAGAAGTTCAGCGAGACAGTTTCTGGTTCAGGTGACGTTCCTGGAGTCTCAAGTAACGTTAGCAGACTCCACGGGACGATTGTAGACTCCCAAATAACTTTACCAGACCCCAAGATAGAGATAGGTGAGTGACTTAGAGATAGGCAAGGGATTTAGAGATAGTTATGGGACTAATTTTAAGAAATAGACGAGTGATTTAGAGATAGTCATGAGATTGATTTTAAGAAATAAACGAGTGATTTAGAGATAGTGATGAGAGTGATTTTAAGAAAAAAGGGAGTGATTTAGAGAGTGGGATAAGAGAGAGAGATTTAGAGATAGAGATAAGAGAGATTTAGAGATACAGACGGATGAACAACTTAAGAGATAACAACTGTACTAGGTACTACGAATGCTCTATCTCCCCCCATACTCTCATACCCAACAATTCTTTATACAAAAATGCAATTTACAGATTCGCATACACATGAAAATATCACCAAATTATATTAACCACGAGACGTGCTCATATAAGCGTCATTAGGGCGTGAAGATGGCGTAAAGATGGCGTAAAGATGGCGTAAAGATGGCGTAAAGATGGCGTAGATGGCGTAAAGAAGGTTATGAGAAATGTTTTTGAGTTACGATGTCAGGAGATGTCAGATCAATCTGTCAGGCGAATCACTTAGTAATAGAACCACGTCCTCACCCAGAAGACGTAATGAGCCAATGAGAGAGCAGGAATTTAATGATGTCATTTTGGTAGCCAAATTTGGGAAGTCGCTCGGAGGAGAGGTAACCGAGCGTTCCAATAATCAGCGATCTCATTCGTTCCAATTAGTGATTAGCGAATCTCTGTTGAAGTGAATGCAGGCTCTGGGATGAGCAGGACCCGACGCTGAAGGCTTTTGAGCATCCCGACTTCAACTAATATGTTGCACCTTTTTTTTTTTTACGGGATCAACCAATCCGTTAAAAGTGTGACGTATGACTACAAATTAATACGCCGTAATACGGACGGTTTCTGTCGATCGGCCCACCGATAGGTTAGGAAGGTTGCTTGGGTTCGTACGCTAATAGTTAAGTCAAACTGTTGCGGCTTTTCACGGAGTGGCCAATCGGGAGAACGGACTGGTGTGAGAGACAAAGAGTAGTGAGAGTGAGTAACTGCCCTGTAGTTCCTTGACAGTCAACGCGCGGACTCCTACAGTGGGCAGAACTACCCCAGTGGGCGGGACTACCAGGCTACCAGACTAGGCCGTCAACTCCGTCAATGACTGGGACTCGGGTCCCAGGCGCGAGAATGCGCGGAAAGTCTACGGATACCCCCATCCACGTTTCACTTACCCGAGACTTCGCTATCTGGAAGCTCTAAATTTGATTAAATACGTCAGTACCAATAGTTAGCGAGTACGTAACGAGCTCATTAGAGGCTAAATAACATTACCAACCTAAAATAGCTTCCCCTGTGATATCAACAATGACCTGTACTATGTAAATTAATACTATTTAAATTATATTATGCCATGTGTATGGAATAAAATATATTATTTAACATATACGATATGTTAGTATGAACTAAATGTAGAGTTTACGCTTTAGAGATAAAAAATTTTTTTAGTAAACTTATAGGAAAACCCGCAGTCGGTTATCGTAAAGATATAAGTGTTCTGTGCAATGGTAGAGGCTTAGCTCTATAGTTAGAGGGCCCCGCTTGAGTGGGGCCTCTCTCAAGAGCCACAGAACTCTACCACAAGAGCCACAGCTCTGTGTTCTGTGCTTAGTAGAGGCTTAGCTCTATGGTTAGAGGGCCCCGCTTGAGTGATTCCTCTCTCAACAGCCACAGAGCTCTACCACAAGAGCCACAGAGCTCTACCACAAGAGCCACAGAGCTCTACGACAAGAGCCACAGAACTCTACCACAAGAGCCACAGAGCTCTACCACAAGAGCCACAGAGCTCTACCACAAGAGCCACAGAGCTCTACCACAAGAGCCACAGAGCTCTACCACAAGAGCCACAGAGCTCTACCACAAGAGCCACAGAGCTCTACCACAAGAGCCACAGAGCTCTATACCACAATAACCACAGCTCTATACCACAATAACCACAGCTCTATACCACAATAACCACAGCTCTATACCACAATAACCACAGCTCTATACCACAATAACCACAGCTCTATACCACAATAACCACAGCTCTATACCACAATAACCACAGCTCTATACCACAATAACCACAGCTCTATACCACAATAACCACAGCTCTATACCACAATAACCACAGCTCTATACCACAATAACCACACCCGACACACACTACATACTAAACACATACTCTTACTAGTATGATTCCAATTAGTATTTGCACACTAATGCCGCTATTAAATGATAATTCTGTTTCAAAAGAGCCGGGGGCTTCTCCCCCCTACCAGTTCATAGACACTAATATCTTGTGTGTAGTTATTTTGTCATTAATCATTCAATAATTTGATTAAAAATGTTGCAAATTTATTGCAACTTTTGACGAGCCAAATACAAATTTTTTTTAATATCAATAATTCAGTCGAATAATTTTGGCTAAATATATATTTTTAGAGGAGAAATTTTTAGTTAGAAATATTTAACAAGAACTTAAGAATTATGGGAACAATAGATGGCTTATTGGCCCATACGAGGCAGCTCTTATTTACAAATAAGTAAATATTTACAAATATTTACATCCAATCAAACTCATTTACATGCCCAATCAGTCCCTGAAATAATTAATATATTGGCTGAGGGAGGGAGGTAAATATCAGGGGGAAAGTGCCAAGCCATTACGACTATATAGCACTGGGAAGGGGTCAGGATAAGGATTTGGGATGGGGCGGTGGGAAGGAATGGTGCCCAACCTCTTGTAGACACTCGGGGATTGAACGCCGACCTGCATGAAGCGAGACCGTCGCTCTAACGTCCAATCAAAAGATCTTGGTTGAACATATATTTTCTTGAAAATATGATGAATGGCTGAACGCAAATTTATATAAAATAGGCCAAAACAATTTGAAAATTACCATTTCCTTTAAACAATGTTATCATTGTTAATGTTATTCTTAGAAAACAAGGAAAACTGATCCAGGAAATCCAGGAAATCCAGAAATCCAGAAATCCAGGAAATCGAGAAATCCAGGAAATCCCAGGAAATCCAGAAATCCAGGAAATCCAGAAATCCAGAAATCCCAGGAAATCCAGAAAATCCGGAAATCCAGACATCCAGGAAATCCAGAAATCCCAGGAAATCCAGAAATCCGGGAAATCCAGAAATCCTAGGAAATCCAGATATCTAGAAAGCAAAGGAAATTCAGAAACCCAGAAATCCAGGAAATCCAGAAATCCAGGAAATCCAGGAAAATTGATCCAGGAAATCCAGAAATCCCAGGAAATCCAGGAAAAAACCAGTTGAATAACTTTTTGAAGCTGGTGATGATGTGTGAAAGAATTACCTCAGAAATTCGAATTATTCCTGACCTCATGACCTTTAGCTTCAAGACCAAGTTAAACTGCCTTTGACCTCTAATTGACCCAGCAGTTTACACCCACGTGACTATCTCTTTAGGTCACCTAATCTGCTGCCAAGAACCCCAAACAATACACAAAATATAATGTATTATTAAGTAAATTAGGTAGTTATTTTGTCATTAAAAAGGTTAGGAGAGAATTACAACAAAATGCTTTTAATAAGGAAAGTGAGGAGGAGGGACTGAGGCGTTTATTATGGCTGGGAGAGAGGGCGCCTTGATCCTTTAATGTGATGCTATTCTGGGCCTCTCTTGCTCCCTCTCCCATCACCTCCTCCCTATCCCATCACCCCCTTCCTCCAGCCCCACGTGAACCTTGTACCTTTCCCCAGTGGGGGACGAGATTATTGGATAGATCACCTCTCAAGTGACGTGATTGGGCTTATCCCTTCTTCTCTCTCCTTTATTATCTAAACCTTTTCCCCCCCACTTCTTTCCTATCCACAGCCTCTGTTTTTCCCTATCTACAACCTATCCCCTTATCTACGACCCCTCTCCACCTCTATCCACAACATCTCTGTTCCTATCCACATCAATCCTGCCCTCTAAAAAAAAAATCACAAATAAAATATTTAAGACTGGAGATCTCAATAGGACTTTTAAAAGGCAAATGAAATTCCAATATTCAATAAAGGGGATTGACAAGCGGCATTCAATTATAGCCCCGTACCACGGACACGCAAGCCTTCCACAGTATTGGGGAAAGATATCACAAAGAGAACAATAGAGAAACAAATCCACAAGGGCCGTGACGAGGATTCGAACCTGCGTCCGGGAGCATCCCAGACACTGAATTAATCGACTGAGCTACGACAGGGTTAAAAGGGTTGAAACCGAAGTTCTACTGAACTTGCTGGATCCCGGAGCCTCTCCGAGGCACAAACGGTTTG